GTAGGGAACCACATAGTAACAGGTACCAAAATTATCTAGAATGGCTTTGATGGGGAGCTGGAAAGAGAATCTGAGTCTTAGGATTGTCAACTGTGTCTCAGTCGGACTACCCGCTCTTGAGAGTGCCTTTTCTCTCCAGATAAGTTTGTCAACCAGATGGAATTTCACATTAAGAAACGAATATTCTCATAAAATGTTGTTCTTTTCCCCATTAAAAATATTCTTGGATAGCTGAGGCAGCCAAATTGGTTTTCTGGGCAGCATTTACTGGAATTCTTTTACAGCAGTAAGTCTAAGAAATGCTGTTCTTTTTTTTTAAGAGAAGAGCACGTTTGGTTTGATTGCTTGAAACAAATCTGACAGATGAACTGGAAGACAGATGTACAAGCTGATACAAAAGATGAATGTGTTAACAAAAGTATGTTGAGCTGTTTACTTCACTGTGCCTTTGCATTTTGCAGATACTGTGCACTAAAATCTTGGTTATTTTTACTTCTCTGTACTTGGGATTTTATTATTTGCTATAAAGTGCAGGATAAAGACTACCTCTGGAAATGTAAGGAACATAATATAGCAGTGGAACCAATGGGGATGTTGGCAGACACTGACTCACTATAATTCCAGGGTTTAGGAAAAAGACCGTTTATAATTAGCTCACACTATTTATCAAGCTATTGACCTCAAATTTTGAGAAAATCTGTCATTCTACCATATTATCTTCCAACAAATAGGATGATTTTTAAGAGGTCTCTGAGAGAATTTAATATTATTCACCTTTGTCAGTTACCACCAAGTAGCTGATATTTATTGGGTTTTGTTTGTTTTGAAAATCTGTGAGTTCCCCAAATTCCACAAGCATTTATTAGTCTCATCCATTGCTTTGGAGGAATATGTAAATTCAATTTTTCGTGTTAAAGAGTGTTACTGGTCTGAATATGTGCTTGTTTTAATGCAGCTGAGTGGTGGATATTGTGATTAGTCACAGCCCAATGACAAATACTCACTGCATTGTCATTTAAAGAAAAATAAAAAGATATGGCAATCCTAATTGTGAAAACAGACCGTTTCTCGCCCTTTCTAAGAATAGGACTTTCCTGGCTTCCTCTTTGTTTTGAATTATCTCAGTGCTATTTATGTTGCTATTCCTGCTCCTTCCCACTTTCGGAGAAATCCTGCTTTCTGTTTCAGAGCAGGGCTGTGCTGGTTGGTTCTGCTTCAGGTCTGCAACTACCTGCTATTTATATTAGTTAATACCCTTACGCTGTTGCTTATTTTACTTTTTCACCTTTGAAAACTATTGGTGTATCTGGTTTATGACACTTGGCTTTAATTCACCAGTAGAGCTCAGTCATTATGAAAACAACACGGAAGCATTGTGATGCTTACTTTCTCTCTGTTTCATTGCTTGCTAACAAAGAAAATCAGCCCTAGAGCTCCATTACAGCTGTGAAAACCTGCAGGTTGTTTATCAGTGCTGTGTGTTTGCTTAACTCTCTCTCTGAGCCTTGTTGGTGAGGGACACAGTTATGTGTTATTGGCGATGTTTTTTTCCCTGCTCTTCAGAGTAACCCAACAACATTTCCATTCCAGCCCTGTCAGCGTCTTCAGCTATTTCTAAACTACTCCTCCTCTAATCCCTCATCTGGGTACAGTTTGACCCAATTTGCTATGATCCTGCCAGCTATGCCAGTTACCTAAGGAGGGTAAGATGTGGAATTTGTATGAAATACTTTGTTACATTGCACCAGGGTGGGTGGTTTGGTTTGGTTTTGTTTTTTTTTTTAACAAGCCACTTGTTTATGTGTATGTACAGCATAAAACCGTATCTCTTGATGCGCATTCGTTTCCTGAAAATTACTTCCTTTAGGAATGCATAATGTCTAAAGCTACTTTAAAAAGAAAAAGAGAAAGAAAAAAAAAAAAGAAAAAATCCAAACCCTTGATTCCTTCTGCTTACACTCGGCATCCTACCCTGTGAGTGACTCCTGTGTGCCACCCCAGCAGCTTATCCATGCTTTTTATAGTCAAGTCCCAAATTGCCTGCGTTGGGCTGGGTCTCTTACAATTGTTGTTTTCTACACTTTTCATTCTTTTTCATTTCAGTTTATAACCCTGTCACAGCGGTGACTCCAGCTCTGCTGCCTTCCTACCGCCGGGCCCCACAGCCACGCAGCCCCTCTCCCGCCATGGCTGCACCTCCGTCCTCGGTCGCCTTTGTCACCTGCCGCCCGCCGCAGCATTTCGCTTCCCTCTTGGAGACGTCCTCCCTACGTGC